CAATTGCTATGATAAGCTGTTCACTCAAAATGTATTGTGGACATTGTCTAGTTTAAATACAGTAATTAAATTCAAATCTGAAGAATTCCCCCCCCCCAAAGATGTTATTGTAAACATGATTTAATGCAGTTATAAATCTGGAAATGCTGACTATTTAAAGAACACACCAGTATTTATTACAAGGTTGCATGGACAATTATTATTCCTTTTTTGTAAACTTCATCATTAAAATTTTTTCATATATGGCTTAAACAATATAGGAGCTGTTCAGTTATATACTATAACCTTGAAAAAAGGAAATTGAAACTGTGCCATTATATATATATATATATATATATATATATATATATATATATATATATATATATATATATATATATATATACACCAAAGTAAAGGATTTGGGTTTTGTTTGTTTATTGCAAAATGAGTCAAAGATATAATATAATGTTATGGACTTCACATTTCATTGGGAAACCTATGAGATTTATTTATTTATTTGCTTGTTTTGTAATGTTTATATGCCAATACACTTTAAAAGAACTGTGATTTAATAGGTATGTTTGAGCTTGGTTCTATCAACCAAGCTTTAATAGCCAAAGTCCCTAGATTTTATAATTAAAATGCAGCCTGATTGATAGGTCTATGTGGCCTATTTCTAGAGCTGTAAGGATAGTTATGGAAGGTTCATTAGCTTCTAGGTCCATAGCAGTTACAAAGAACCACCAAGTATTTTTCTTTTTAATCTATTTTATTTATTATTTATTAGTTTTTTATCCCACTATTATTTTATAAGTAACTCAAGGCACCAAACATACATAATAATCTTTCCTCCTCCTATTTTCTCCAGAATAACAACCTTGAAAAGGAAGATGCCAATCAGTAACCCAGACAGTTTTTATGCCTAAAGTGGGACTAGAACTCACAGTCTCCTAATTTATAGCTCTAATTACTGATCACATAGAACCTTCAACCTATCAGAACTACTTTGCTGCCTTATACCATAAGCCTTGTTCTGCTACCTCAATTCTGTTCCTTGCTTTTGAAAAGGAGATTGCATGGTAGAGTTCATTGGGATGGCAACATGCTGTTATGTGCACTATATTTAGGCCTCTATACCTGGTCCTTATGGCCAGTTACATCATAGCCTGAGCTGAGCGCCAAGCCAAGCATCTTCTCTAGTGATCACACAGACTGAATTGAATACTGTTCTAATATTAAATGTCCATGTCAAGTTCAGAGAAATTATACAACTAAAAAAATTGAAGGACTCTCTTGCTGATACTGTTCTATCAAATATGGTAAGAGATGATAAAATAAAAGGACTCCTCCTAAAATCCATTCTCATCTCTATAGTACAGATCAACCAATATAATACAGCACAGCAACACTCCTTTCTTGAATACAGGATTTTTTGAATGGCAAAAAACGTACAACTGGCTCAAATAACTTATGATTTATCTCAATGAAAAGCAGCAGCAGTAGCTTCATTTGACTGGTGAGAGAACTAATGTTTATCCATGACTATATATACAATGTTTATCCATGACTATATATAGTCTGAAGATGGCGTGTACTCAATCATAATCTCAATTCATCACTCAACTTCAGTGTGGAAAGGTGAAGGTCTTTGACTGAATGGTACTGTTTCCTTAGTTTTTCTTGATATTATCAGAAGTTACCCAGAAATGTGGTTTGCTCTCTTTCAATAGATGAAATCAGAGGCTGATAGCCAAAGAAAGAAACCATACTTCAGATTACTGCATTAAGGAGTTGTTTATAAATGGCCTTTTCCAAATCTAAGTTTCATTGAATTCCTAGCAGATAAGCTAGGAATTTTCATTATAAAAGCTTAGCAGTTCCTATAAATTATAGAAAAGAAAAACACAAAAAGGACTTGGCTATCTTTTACTGAACAAATGCTACAGGTAGCAATATTGGGAGTCCTGAATTTGTTGGGGATCCTAAGTATTACAAAATAGACTAAGTAAGACATAATTTGTTTTCCATTTCATAACAGAAGGAAATTGTCACCAGTCACATGTTCAGCAGTCATAATCAAAGCTTGGGGGGGGGGCAACATGGGAAGAAAAATTCAGGGACAGAAATTTGTTTATTTTTGTGAAAAAAGCATGGTCAAAGGCAATATGGAGGGGTAAAGGTAGAGGGGAGGGGAAATAGTTTGGTTATGAGGAAGCAAGTTATCTGTCGGGTTACCTTATCAATTATTTGTTATTTGCACATTTTGTTGCCCACCTTACCCAGTTCAAATTCTACATTATTCTAGCCATTTTATGCATCTGATGAAATGGCTGCAACTCATGAAGCTTATGCCTCTTAATAAAAAATGTTAGTCAGAAAAGGTGCTTTCAGAATCACTCAAGGCTAACATGGTATTTTTCATGCAGTGTTCACTTTTGAGTTCCCTGTTCTTAGATGACAGAATGAAGATTTGGAGTAAGTAAAGACTTTTTATCTGGTGAGATCATTTCAATTTAAAATATTTATTCTTAATATAAAAATTGTCCTTTGATATAATTTGATTGTTGACCACGTCAATAATTTTAAGAATCCAAAACTCTAATTCTCAACTTTTTGTTTTTAACCATGAATTGGATGTCCTCTCTTAAATCCCTTTCTAATTTTAGGATAGTTTAAAAGCAGTTTGACATGTTATTTCCTATAAAAGTCTGGGAGCTAAAATTTGATGCACAGTTTCATACTATAAGCAACTCTTTTAATAATCAATATGCTAAATTTCAACTAGAATCAATCACTGATAGCCTAATCCTAATTTAATTGATGATGGTATCTGGATTTATTATTATTTATTTTAAGAATTTGTAAGAAAGAAAAATCATGGGTTTACTTTCCTCAGGCTCATCTTTCTTTCTTTCTTTTATGGGGAGGCTTCACTTTTTAAATCACATATTTTGTTATTGGCTGAGTTCTTAAACATTCATTTTAAAACAAGTTCAATTCTAAGAAAGTGTACACTTAGATTTTGGGGCTGTATAGAAGGATAGCAGTAGCAGGTTTAAACAAAGTCTTACTCTGCCTCTTCTTTAATGGATTTTCTCCTAAGATGGAGAAAGAACTCAATAGGAAGGATTTCCTTCTTAAAGGCTTAACTGTGGATAGTAACTGTCTGAAACAGTTTCCTAGGGCATTTTGACCAGGAATTTTGGGAGATACAGTTCTAACATGTACAAGAGCATCATATGTGGAAGCCTGGTCTAATCTCCTACAATTAAGTTTTCAATAAGAAAATCAGAAATACAAATACTTTTTGTTTAGTAACCATGGGGCCTTGTTGGTTTTTTTGAGTAAATGTCTGACCAGGGCAATCTAAGCATTAACACCAGGAGATAATTTCATCTCATTTCTGTTAAGTACCTCTAGATTGCCTCTTGGCTGCTAGCTATGTTCTAAACATGACTGACCTTAAGTAGAATATTGCCTGAGATACTTAACAGTAGTATGCTTGATATGAGAGTTCTTCACATCTGCTATTTCTTACATAAGGCAAAGCGTCACAGCAAAATTTCCTAAAGATATCTCCGTATAAAAAAGCTTTTGGACATGAAATTAAGATATTAATATTTTGAAATTATATCTAAGACTTGAATTTGTCATTTTGGGGAATTATTTGTTTCCTTTCAATGTACAGTTAGACCTGAATGCTTAAATTTACGCTGTTGTATCATGTGTACTTGTTTTTATAAAACGTGTTCGTATCATGATTTTATTGATTGAATTACTGCAGTTTTGTTAACTTTTTGCCATGCAAATATTTTTCCTTCGACTGATACACTTGGGATAGTTAATTACCATAGAGGTTAGTCTGACAAACTTATGTAAATGACAAGGAGAGAATTAGAATAAAAAATTATTTCAGATATAATTACATCATTTGTTGCTCTCAAACATGCTTTCTTTGCTATGGTGAGAATACTCTTTGATGAAAGACAAATTTCCTACAAAGAAGTTACACTTGTACAGCAAGAACCAGAAAAACTCAAGTAACTAAATTATGTAGAATACCCACATGGGAGAAAGTAAACTCTCTCACTTAAAGCACAGGCTTTGCATTCAGAGAATTTAGTGTCATATAAAATCCCAGGAAGTTGCCATTGGAATTTAAGATCCAGTTTTAGTCCCTGCTAGTTAGTCAAGGCCTCCTAAAATATGCATGTAGTTGGATTCAAACAATTATGAAGTGCTTCTTTGTGGAGGGGAACAATTTCCTGTGCTTTGGGGGACAGATGGTTTATCTCCTTCCAAGAAGCCAGCCTTGGATGCAACAATACTATAAAATTCATCCAGTTTCCTCAGATTTGGGGAAGATTGTTGAAAATATAGTAGGTTTCCATCTTCAGCAAGCTGTGTAGGAAACAGATTTTTTGGACCCTTTCCAAATAATCCAGTTGAATTTCAGGTAGGTTATAGAACCATGTGCACTTGTGAATAACCTCTGAGAGGCTCATAGTTAGATTGGGTACATCCATCCTGGCTCTTCTGGATTTTTAATAGTTTTTAGTACATTGATCATGTTCTGAATTGACTCAGGGATTTAAATGGGAGTGGGCTTTGTAGTGGCTTACCTCCTTCCTCAAGGATCCAGTTACATTCAGTACTAGTGGCAGGGTAAAAAGTCTAGCCGTAGACTTTGATATTAAACATCTATTCAACCTCTACATGAAGTTATATGGTGAGGTTTTATCAGTTCACTGATGATACTGGCTGTGTGCTGACAGTTGTACAAATTATGGTCACATAATTTGTCCTGTGCCAGTAGATGTGAGGATATCTGTGGGGAAGAACCATGACTTAACCCTAATTGCTCTGGTTTTGGGGCTGGCATTTGGGCTCCCAGGACATGAAGACTTTGGCTTTGGATGGAATACCACTTATTCAGAAAGAATTGTGATGGCTCAGACCATGAGGAATAACTGGCTCCAGGGACATCTGAGAGGGACTATGGGGTGCACCAGGGGGATATGGAAGGCTCTGAGGCAGAATTGGATGGTCAAGGCAAAGCCATGCTGGGAAGTCGGAGAAGAGAACAGCCAGACAAACAACCAGCTGCGTGGGCTGGAGAAGATGCTCAGTTGCAGCCAGTTAGCACAGATGAGGAAGAGTTGCCACCCTATCCAATCTCAGGTCATGCATAGCTGAGTGGAGGAAGGTGCAATGGAGGTTGGCAAGGCTACTTGTGAGGAGGTATTGCTCCTTCCTAATGAGGCACACTATCTACCTTGGTGCTTGGAAACCTAGTGGCTGTCGGAGATAACCTTTCATAATACTTCCATTTATGAATGCTTTGTTTCATTGCCTTGAACTCACTGAAACTGTGTTGCTGTCAACATTCCTTGCACCCATTGAAGTCATGTTGCTGTTACAGTATCTTGCACCCACTGAAGTCATGTTGCCTTCATTGGGCCTTGGACTCATCAAAGCCAAATTGCCTTCCCATGCCTGGAGTCTGGAGAGTTGTGGTTGTTTTCATTAGACTTGCAATCAGCAAGCAATTCATGTCATCCTGCTAAGAGTTCATTAGATCACCTTGTAGTTGTCCTGCCAGAAATCCATTGATTCTCCTTGCTGTTGTCCTGCCTGGAGTTCTTAGTTCATCTTGCTGGTGTTGTCCTTGTGCCTTAGGCACAGAAGAGACTACAGCTTGCCTTGCTCCTATCACTTTTGCTATGTCCTGGGAGAGGTCACTTGAAACTGACTCTAAGGACTGCACACCTGGGACATGGGAAATGACTACGGGATTGGTTGTATGAAATAAACACATTTAACTCTGCTCATGCTGTGTGTGTAGACTAGGACAGGACATAGTTAATGTACAATCTCAGGATTTTCCTGAATTACTGGCTCCTGTTCAAGGAGCAGGTGGTAATTGTGACTATAAAGAACTTTGCACAAATTCATCTTGTGAATGAGTTTCTAGAGGGCTCTGCTCATAATCATTCATCCCTCAGTAACTTCTTGATTGGATTATTGTAATACATTCATGGGGCTATCCTTGAAATGGATTTTGAAGCTTCATCTGTTCCAGAAAACAGTGCCACATGCAGTTTTGGGTGCGTTGAGGTTTGCTTTTAGACACCATTGTTGAATAAGCTTATTTGAACCCAGTATTCCAAGGGAATACTCGCTTACCATTAAAGTCCTGCACATCGCAGAGCTAGATCATTTGTGGGACCACCTATTCCCAGTAATTCCAGCCTGTACTATCAGATCCAGCAAGGTGTGTAGACTCTCGGTCTACACCAATGTTATCTTGCCCTCTGTGTTGTAGTGCCTGCCCTTTGAAACAGTCTTTCCTATGAGATCCAGATAGCCTTAACTTTATTAGTCACAAAAACTGCAAAGGTCTTCTCTTTCCTCAGTCATTAGAATAGGATATTAGTGGATCCAATATGTCTGTTGGCATTATGGAATATTTTGTAATATCTTAGTTATATAGTGATTGCTATTGTTAATTATATTTTGAGGTGTTTTATATTAGTTGTTTGTATTAGTTTTATTTATTAGTTATGTAATTTGAGAATTGCCCAGTTATTAATTTAAACTGATGGCAATAATTATAATATAATAATAATTCAGCAGCTATGTGACCTGCTGTGCTTGCTGAGCTAGAATCCTGCTTTTATTGACAGAACTCACTAAACTGAGATACTGAAATTGGAGTTATTGTTGTAGTCCATAATAAGCCAAATAATGTCCTGAAAATGGCAACTTGTACTCTGGATGTAGATCAATAGCATTCACAAGCAATTTGTTCCTGAAGAAAAGAAAGTTTGTTGATAAATAAGCTTTATACAGTCTAGTGTATAAATGCAGAGATATATACAAATAACATGCAATCTCTTTTAAAGAAAAAAGAGAGAAGCTAAGAAGAAATAGGAAAAACCACTGAGTTCCCACTCTATATTAATTCATGGTTTTTTTAAACTTATGGTTAGCTACATATGTCACAATAACTCAATCACATTAAACTATAGGAAGGTATCAGGAGGCTAGATGCAAATGGTAGTAACACATTCTTGAAAGTGAGGAACGCCTTGACAACTGCCTCACCTCTTCAAACATTCATCCCTTGACTTAGCTGTTTGAGTAATAACCAGTCTTGCCTCCACCTCTCTCTTGCAGTGAGAATCTAGTGGGGTTTCAGGTGCAGAAACTCTAAATGAAGTAGATTCCTTGGGCCCTTTTCACTGAACATTTAAGCCTGAGATGGAAACTTAATTGGTTGTTTCTGGGGATGATCTATAACAGGAATAAAATTTAGGAGTGCAACACATCTAATCCCATTGAATCTCTCATTTGCCTTCTGAAGTGGAATACATGCTTGATTGTAGATGCAGGTGAAAATTTTATTCATTGTAGCCTAGATTGTAGAAATTGTGATAGATATTCAGATACCACATTGTATTAGTTCCATCAGAAATTTACGTCTGAGTTCTGTCCACATGGCCTGCTACCACTATAAATAGACAATGAGTTCCAGGAGAAATAAACTGTTTGTTTCCTGTAATATTAGATTTCTCCAGTGCCAGTTGCCATATATAGGACACAGCATTTTCAGCTTCATCAGACTCTTCTCTGCAAGATTTGGCCATTAACTTTCGTAAGCTGCTCGTCCCATTGAGCAAATGAGGAAGGGAACAGTAAGACCGCATCCATTGCCCTCTGATGGTTGAGGAACTGTAAAGAAAGTTAGGTTTGTTCTTGGAGGTAGTGTGAAAAGCCACCCTCACTACTTCTACTACTACTTCTACTACTACTTCCAACTATTTTTACGGTGGAAAGAAGACTCAAACTTACACAATTTTAAATACTCAATTTCTACTTTCTAATTTTGAATATTGCTTTTGCAATACAGGTAAAGTGGAACCAAATGTATAAGATTGCAATTCTATTACTGCTTATAATATAGCTTGACTGAACTCACTGGGTTTATTTATAAATAGAAATGCATAAGATTTCATTCAGTAAACTAATTTCACATACAATTTTTCATTTTAATGAACATCTGCCTTTCAACAGCTATCCAGAATAGCTTAAACAAAGTTTCAATAAAGCTTAAAATAAAACTAAGACATTAAAATAAAACTAAGTCACTGAAAGAATATGAAATCATATAATACAAAATATACTGTTAAAGAAATAACACAGTTAAAACAGTCACTAAGCAATATGAAAGCTACATGCTGAATACTAAAACACTGGGAAAATAGGAATAGTCTACCCTTGGGAGTGACATAAAAACAGGAGAACATTCTGTGGTTGAGTTGTCACTACTGTAGGACCTTTCTTTTTAGTCATCATCCGCAGTTCAGATGATTCAGGCATTTGGAGAATGATCTGTGCTGCCTGATCTTAAGGCAATGTCCTCCAACTTGTGTGCCTTTCATAATTACATTCCAAATGGGCATTGTTCACTGTGATTCAGAATGATAGCAATTTTAATCCAACATATCTTGAAGAAAGTACAGTAGGCTGTTTTAAAGCAGAAGCTATCTTTACATCTAGACAGCTATTTGCAGAGGTTAACAATCCTATGCATGTCTACTTACAATATATTGTAATCAGTTTGGGGATATTTGCTTCCAGAAGACTAGAGATAAGATTACAGTTTTGATCACTTTGAAATGTGACTATAAAATCTGCACATATCAAACAGCTTATCTGTTTTACAAATGACACTTCATATAGCATAAATATCCTAAATAATATTAGCAGCAATGACAGTTCATAATTCTTAAGTTTATAATGATGAAATATCATATTTTTCTATGTGTAAGCATTTCTGAATCACTTGGGAGAGTTAAATGATACTATAACCTACCACTGTTTTTAATCTGCAGTATGTATTGGCCAGTGATCTGTCCCACAGAGATAATATTTCCCTGCCTTAGAGAAGCATAGGAAAACTTAAACCCATTAATGATTTTGAAGCTCTCTCATACTACAAGCTACAATGAAGGTCATATTTGACAGACTGCCAAATATTTGCCTCATGTAAAATACAGCAGGTATATATTATATATTATCAAAATATATAGTGATAATATTATAGCCATGTAAATAAAATTAGGAGACAAATTGTATGATCATCTCCCTTACTTGCTTACACACAAGCATGAAGTCATGAGATTTTCTCTATCTCATTTTACTTATGTGGCAAGGACATCTCTATGCATTTTATAATTGATAATAAATCTTTCCCCGATACATATTATTAGAATATTAACTAGAATGGATAAAACAGAGAACATTATAAAAAAAATTTCTTGTCCCTCTGCCAATGAATTCTTGTACACCACTAAAACTGGAAACATTTTTTACTTTAACAGCTCAGTCCAAATTTGGAGACTACAACCATTTTTTGCTTGTACTTTCATCCCCAAAGTAGGAGAGGTCTTGTTACAAACTAACACAATATTATCTCACTATGGATTTTATATACTGTATATATGTATATATATATATATATGTATATATGTATATTTTGTAGGAAGTAATGAGGCCACTACTTTGTCTACTTTTGGGACAATATAAAATATATAGTTAAGTCGAGAGGAATGCTGCCAGATCACCTGAAAATAATAATAAATAATAAAAAATAACAATTCCTTACATCTTTCAATATTAGTTACTTTAAGGGTTCTCCAATCTCTTCTTGAAACCTCAAGTATTTTGAAGGATATATGTGAACTAATATTGAACTGATAAAGTCTGCAAAGGCTAAAACTTGCAAAGACTCTTTGCATCAAAGGTGAATTTTTGTTTACTTTTTGGAAGTGCTTTTGAAACAGATTCTGGAAAGCTATTTCCAACAGAGAAAGGGCCAGTTGATCAGATAGCAGCCAAACTAATGAAAAGCATCATGGAAGTGACAGGAAGATTAATTAAGTCCCTCCAGTTGTATTCACAGGCGACTGTGCAGAGTTCCTTTGGGTAATGCTGCAGTTAAGTAGCATTCATAGTGACAAATATTGCAGAGGTCTGGAACTGACACTTCTGATTCAAGTGTAAAAACAAAGCAAAACATCACATTTAGTAATTATTTTTAATTTTGCCCAATGAGGATAGAAAAAAATAGTGATAAAACTCTTGCGCTTTGTTGAAAATACATAGAAATACACAAC